CATTTCAATGTAAAGAAAACAAAATCCTCACAACTGGACCAATAAACAACATTCTTATCGACAGAGAAAAGATTCAAGTTGTCAAGGACTTTGTTCTTCTTGGATCAACTCTCAGCACTCATGGAAGAAGCAGTCAAGAAATCAAATGACATGTTGCATTAGGCAAATCTGCTGCACAAGACCTTTTTAAAGTGTTGAAGAGCAAAGATGTCAGCTTGAGGACAAAGACGAGACTGACCCAAGCCATGGTATTTTCAATAACCTCATATGCATGCAAAAGCTGGACAGTGAATAAGGAAGACCATAGGAGAAATGATGCTTTTGAGTATGGTGTTGGAAGAAAATATTGAAAGTGCCATGGGCTGCCAAAAGTACCAATAGATCCGTTTTGGAAGAAGTACAGCCAGAGTGCTCCTTGGAGGCCAAGATGGCCAAACTTCAACTCTCATACTTTGGACATATTGTCAGGAGAGACCAGTCACTGGAGAAGTACATCATATTTGGTTAGGTGGAGGGTCAGAAAAAAGAGTACGACCCCCCAATGAGATGGATTAGCCAAATGGCAGCATCAATGGACTCAAGCATGGTACTGTAGTGAGGTTGGCCCAGGATTGGGCTGTGTTTCGTTTTGCTGTGCATAATGTCACTATGGGTCAGTACCGACTCGATGGCACCTAACAACATTAACAAATGTACACTTTGATTTTTAAGAACAATATTAGTGGAGGGATTTTTTGTGTCAAACTATTTTTATGACTTTTCTGAATTTTACTTCATATTTTGCAATCTATACAAAAGAGTTTCATCAGCACCTACATAGAGGTGAAAATTGGAAGTTGAAAGTTACGTATAACTGTTATTATCTCTTCAAAAATCTGTCAAACTATCTTTACAAGAGCACTTGCTATTTTCTCTGAAATTCTTCCAACACATCCTTGTGCTTAGAAAGGACCTTTATCTATAAATGAATACCTAGCTAGTGGCTATGCCAAACAGCTGTAATTACTTCACAAAGATGTCAATATGCCTATAGAAACTCTGTTTTTCCCAAAGTTTGATTGCTGCCTAGTTTGTGTCAAGATATCTGACTGAGATATCAGTTATATAATAGGGTAGTGGTTCTCAAACTTTCACATGCAGAAGAATTGAAGTCTCATTAAAACTTGCTATTTCAGTACTCATCTGGAGAGGCTGCATTGACTGAGGCAAGGCCCAGAAACCAGCACTTATAACAAATACTCCAGATGATTTCAAAGGAGAAACTTTGAGAAACACTGTTCTAAAGTCTCACAAAAGAAATCATTCATAAAAGGCTACTTGTCAGAGGAGCTAGGACACAGTTCTGTTGTTCTTGTGCCTCCATGCTACTGCTCCTCCTCCTCCAAGTCTCTTTGCCGCACCCTCCCTCCAGCATCCCCATAATGTGATTCAACCAAATGTAAACACCTGTAGTTTCCCAACACAACAGTTTTATTTTCACTTATAGACCTTAAATGTGTTCACTCCTCTGTATTGTTATCCTACTTCCTCATCCTATATCCTGCTTCACCTGGCTAGCACCTACTCACCCTTTAAGGCTCAGATCAAACAATGTTTCATTCAGTTTGACTTCAGTGAGTCAAGTCCAAGGAGAGGAGGACTGTTTTTAAATTTCATGATCTCATTTTTACATCATATTAAATTAAGAAGTATATTCCATAATTAGCACAAATTTATAAAGGGGGAAATTGCAATTTGGAGACGTCAAGTAAACTTACCCAGATGATAAATGTATTAAAAGTTCTAAGTTGGTACTGACTGCAAAGTTTGTGTTCTTAACATATAAACCACAGGCTGGTATAGAAGTTCCAGCCAGAGGTCTTTCATATAATCTTATACATATCCCTGCTATCACAAATCACACGACACTTATTTACTTGGATATATTGGTTACCTGAGTATAAGTTCCTTAAAGGTAAGCACAGTACCTTTTTATCATTAACACAATTCAATACTTATTACAGTTTTTGATACATAGTAAGCATTAGAGGAAGCACAGTGGCTCTGTAGTGGCTCTATAGTATAAGTACTGACCTGAGAGATACAACATCAGTGGTTCAAGCCCATCAGCCACTCCATGAACTAAAGATGGGGCTTTCTATTTCCAAAAATATTTACTTTATAGAAGGAGCCTTGATGACACAATGGCTAAAGTATTTGACTGATAACTGAAAGGTTGGTGTTTTGAACCAACCCAGCAACTCCACACAAAAAAATACCAGGTAATCAGTTCTCATAGATTGCTCCTGAGGAAAACTTATGGGGTAGTTATACTCTGTCCTATCAGGTTGCTATGAGTGGGCATTAAACTAATAGTGACTCTATAGATCAACCGCAAAATAGTATTATGGATAAATGAATAAACTTTATTCATTCATTTATGAAACTTATAGACTAATAAGGAAGATAGAAAACTGAATAAGAGATTGCACTGAAGTGCAGTGCTGTTACAAGAGAGAGCTAGAGGACATCCAAGCTCCCTGGAGGACGCAAGATGACACCTATCTGATAAGTATACATTCAATGGAAAGATAGGTACAAGTAGAAGCAAAGACAATCATGAAAGACTAGAGGGAGAGGAAGAGCAAAGAAATAGCTCCAATGTCTGAGACTCTAATTCAAAGCAGAAAGTGGTGAGACGTGATGCAGGAGAAGTGGCACTCACAAGACTGGTGAGACTTAACAGAGGTAATGGGAAGCCATTTGAAAGTGTTGAGGAACCAAAGCTACAGATTAGATTTCCATTTTAGAAAACCTTCCAGGCTGCAGAGTGGTAGGAAAGACTGGTGGTGGTAGTGGTTGTGTGTAGTGGAGTTGTTTCTGACTCATAGTGACTCTGTGCAGGCTTTCAGAGTTTGAAATCTTTAGAGAAGCAGAAAACTTCATGGATTGGAAGGGAAGAAACAAGACTAGAAGCCAGGAGTTCAGTTTGAAGGTTATTAAAGTAATTTAGGTAAGAGATGACAGTTGCTCGAACCAAGATTGTTGTTAAATTCTGTCAAGTCGATTCTGACTCATAGTGACCCTGTATAGGGTTTCCAAGGAGCAGCTGGTGAGTTTGAACTACTAACTTTGTGGTTAGCAGTATAGTGCTAGCAGCACCACACCGGGATGGCACCCATGATAATGAAGGAAAGAGGAAAGAATTGTGGAAATGGAGAACTGGCATGCAAAACCAGAAAAATCAGTATAATTTACTAAAGCCACAAAAATGGCCTAGAAAAATATAGATCTTTTAATGATGTATAGAGAAAAACACTCCAAATTATTTATATTTTAAGTATCCTCAGGATAAATTAGGAGACCTGGTATGGTGCTATAGGATAAGCAATGGATTGCTAACCACAAAATCTGCATTTCAAATCCATCATCCTATCCTTGGAAACTCTATGCAGGGTCGCTATTAGTCAGAATCAACTTAACAACAACAGGACAAGTTTAAAATATCCTAAGGGAAAATATGTATTTTACTAACCTGTTTGTAGGGAGTATCATTCAAGTAAATTTCAGTGTCCCCAACTGAAATCAAAACGCTTTTAGAGCAAACAATATCATTGTCAAAGCATTTCTTGTTCTGGGCAATGACAGATATATCCAAATCATCTGTACTCTGCAATATCAAAAATATTTCATTACTACAAATGTATATAATATATACATAGTTTAATTTATTTCTATTTTAAATAATCCTAAAGATTAGCATTTATAATGGAAGACATTAATATTAAATTATAACTTACCTTTAAAATAAATATTTTTATATCTAATAATGTTACCAAGTTTTTAGAAATTCACCAAGATAACTCAATCTTTATATACTTGTAATATCTTGCATTAAAATTTTATTCTAAAAAAGCATTTTTCCATTGTATTAATAAAGCTCAAAATTACCAACCATTAAAATTTTCTTCTGTCAATAACTATCTAACAAAATAATATGTATCTTATGGGAATATTAAAACAAATATTTCTATTTTACATCTTCTGTTCCATTTTACAAATATTTACCAAAAAAAAAAAAAAAAATCCTAAGGAGTTTTTTGGCTAAATTATTATTTGCTTACAAGTTAAAATCCAAATACATACAAAAATTTGCCATATGTTAGTAAATAAATTAATATATTAGAGGGCTTTCTTTGAACTAGGGGCTTTAAATATGTTATCTCATATAATCCTTATGATATTTTAAAGTTAGATATTATCTCCCTTTTACAAATCAGGAAAATGAAGTGAAGAAGAATTAACTAATTGTCCAAAGCTACTTAGTTAAATAAGGGCAGAAACAGGGTTCAACACCCTAATATGTCTTTTATGCTCCTTATAAAACAAAATTGTAAGAATAAATGTGATACTTGAATAGAAAAGTCCAATTTAGGTTATGTTGTTGTTGTTGTTATGTGCTGTGGAGTGTTTCCAACTCATAACAACCCTGTACAGGGTTTCCGAGACTGTAAATCTTTACAGGAGCAGAAAGCCTCATCTTTCTCCTTTGTAACAGTGGGTAGTTTCAAACTGCTGAGGTTAGCAGCCTGATTCATGACCACTATGCTGCCAGAGCTCCTTAGGTTATAGTGAATCTTTAGTTATATTATTTAAGCTCAAACATTCTAAATATAACACCCTCACCTCTAATTAGCTCCCCATTCTTGGTCACAGCAAATTCAATGTATTAGCAGCAAATTCTCTTACTTTAGCAAATTATCTTATTCATTGAATGGGGTTTCAAACTTAGTATGCTGATTTCATGGATACCCTTCTGTGATTCTACAGAGCTCAGAAATTCAATGCAAAATATTGTTCATGAGTATGTGTCTCGTTTTAGTGTACGTGGCTTTCATTTAGTTCTCAAAATTGTCCTTATTGCCCCAGAAAGTAGAATACACTTCTCTAAGAAACCATCCACTGACAGAGGAAGGCAGTAAATTCATCAAAGGAAATGGAAGAATTGTGTCATCCTCATGATCACTGGCATGTTCAAGTCCAACACTGCAGCTATTGAGCAATCCATCTCAATCGGGGTCTCCTTTGCCCTTTCTGGTGTGCAAATCAGTTGTCCCCTCCTAGCAATTGATCTCTCTTAATATTTTCTGTTGTGGTGCTGTAGGAAAAGCATTGGGCTGCTAACTGCAAGGTCAATGGTTCAAACCTACCCCTGTTCTTCTTGGAAACCCTATACTAGCTCGTTACATGTCAGAACCAACTCAATGGCACTTAACAGCAGCAAGCACAAAGCAAAATAATCAGACAACATTCTGGTGTGATCCATAGGTTTTCATTGGCTAATTTTCAGATGATTGTCAGGTCTTCTTTCCTAGTGTCTTAGTCTGGAAATTCTATTGAAATCTAACCACCAGGCATGCTGCTGCTGGTATTTGAAATACTAGTGGCATTGCTTCCACCATCGTGATGTTGTTGTTGTTAGCTGCCATCCTTCTCCAGCAACTGCTCCCTCCTGACAATATGTCCAACGTATGAGAGATGAAGTTTGGCCATCTTGGAGCACTCTGGCTGCACTTCTTCTTCTAAAATGGATCGGTTGGTTCTTTTGGCAGCCCATGGCACTTTCAATATTCTCCTCCAACTCCATAACGCCACCATCATAGTTCTATGCAATTCACCACAGCAAAGCAAACTTACAGAAGAGAGGTATACTGGTCATGCTATTAATTTGCATTTTACTCTTGATGGAGAGCTCTATCTAGTTTAACTCTTTATCTTTGCCTAAATAGAATATAATGGGTTTTTCTTGACTACTATCTGTTTTCATATCCCATGGATAAGAAACTAAATAAAACAAGAGTCCTACATCTTTAAGGTATTAGGAGACCACAACAGCTTTGTGAGAGAGACATCAAAGGAGGCAAGGTTAAAGACTGCTTTTGCTCATCATTGGCCTTATAATTCTCAGGATGGGGCCTAGCATATAGAAAGCACAGAAGAAATACTGATGAGAAACAATGATATAAGGTGTAACAGCTCGAGAGCATTGAGATTAGAAAGGTTTGACGAGGTTTAAGGAAAACAGTGATTGTTTGAGCTATAATCTGAAGAGAATGTTTAAAAATTTAAGAATAAAGTATAGGAAGATGCCTAGCAGTAATTGTGTCATCGTAGATTACAAGTGGCATTTGGCTCTGAAATCTGAGAGTTTCACTAATATTTCCCATTTTTTGCTAACGACAAATAATACTTGTTCTTTCTTTGAGTTTATAGTATAGGTCAAGTTTCTAGTTGTTTTCTTAACTCTTTTTCCCTTAAACTAACTAAAGCTTCTTAATTCAAGGAGTACAATTATGAGTTTTTCCCCAAATTTTCTTTAATACGTGGAAAAAATACCATGTTTTACCATGTGCTACTTATATACTAAACAGTAAACAGTCTCTGCAATGAATAAAATGCCATGGAACCTAAAGTTTTAGAGTTTAACAAGAATTTATTCAGCAAGATATGGTAAGTACTTACCATAATCCATGTACCTAGAAATAGGTTACATGAAAACTACATAGCCCAGAGATGAGAAAATATGAACTTCTCAATTTAAGGGAAAGTTGACACTATCTTTTTAAAATAAAGCTGAGTAAGTATTATTTTTTTTAAATTTCCAATTAGAAAATTAAAAAAATAATTAGATTGATTGAAAAAAATCAAAGATGTAAATGATTAAAAAGGTAATAAAAGATAAGTTTCTAGATAAAAAGATGCTAGAAATAACAAAGGTAAAGCCAGGAATTTGTCATCAACATGTAGAAAAGAGAGTTGACTCACAAGGAAGAAAAAATTAAATTTCTCATTTATAGAAGCGATGTCTTTCCCAAAATAATCAACAAGTAAATGAATAGTGTTGGGAATCATCCTTCCCTTCTCAAGAGAAATATGAAGTTTTTCAGAAAGAGGCAAAAGCTCTGCTATGGAAAAGCTGGTCAGATGAAACAACAACAAAAAAATACTCTTCAAGTTGTAAATGTTAACGTAGAAAAAAAATCCAAGTTCGAAGAAATTTCCTCTCCAGCATGCTCACATTTCAAGACCATTAAATGAGGTGATATTTCTTAATTACTGGAGCTTCTGAGTGACAGAAAGAATCAAGTACTCAACTAGTAGCCAAAAGATTGGAGGTTCAGACCCAAACACAGGTACCAGCCAAAAGATTGGAGGTTCAGACCCAAACACAGGTACCAGCCAAAAGATTGGAGGTTTAGACCCAAACACAGGTACCAAAGCAAACAGACCTAACCATCGGCTTCTGAAAGGTCAGAGCATTGGACCTCCATGGCCAGCCCTATTCTGCACACCTGGTTTACCATGAGTCAGGATCAACTCAACAACAGATAGCAATAAGAACACGAAGTAAATATCTACATCATGTACACATAAAATGTGTTTTGACTGATTGTGAATGTTTTGGTCAATTTTTCCTGAAAAAAAAAAAAAAAGTGAGGCCTTTTTCCAGTGTTAAAAGTTTTAGTAAAAACATCCAATGTAATATAAGCAGTAATTTGTTAAAATAATTCTAATTGATTGTTACCAGTAGTTTTCTTTTTCAATTAAGAAATTAAATATGTTGTTGTTTTTAAGTACCTTCAAATCCGTTCCAACTCATAGTGAGCCTGTATAGGGTTTCCGAGGAATGGCTGGTGAGTTTGAACCACCAAACTTTTGGTTAGCAGTCCAGTTCTTATCCTACAGCTTCAAACCGGAATTTCAAATTAAATGTAGTAAAAGATAAATTCTGATTTCCATTAGTTGTAAACCAACTTTCTTTCTAAAAAGTACATCATAAAAGAGAAAAGAATTTTGCCTTGCCAGAAAAAAAAAGGCATACACATCTAGAATTTGAAACTTAACTTTTTCAAACCCTCATGCCATTTTTCTTACTAAATGAACCATCATGATAGATTTTAATCCAGATATTAAACTAGTGCTCCAAATTTCATTGTTTACTGAAAGGCTGAATATTTCCTGTGACGTGGTTTCGGTACACAAGCAGATATATTTCATTCAATTTTGAAACTGAACACACACAGCATATTTATTTTAAAAGAAGAAGAGAGTGAGAAAGTAAAGATTAGAAATCAAGATTCTAAAGGCTAATTGCCAACCCTTAATGCCTCTTGCCTGCTGAATGGATTGGCACTATTGAATTATAGCACCACTAAAGAAAGATTGCTACAATCCATTCATCAACAAACATGGGCATTTTCTTCATTTTGCTAGGAATAAGATTTGGGACAAATAATCTACTTGAAATAATCCCAGCATTTGAAAACAATGATAAATACTGGGCCTTCTTTATTTCAAAGATAAACATGGGGGTAAGAAAAAGTCTGGCATAGAACAGTAATCAAATTAATTAAGCAGTAATCAAATTATTAAATTAAGAGTTGACCAAGTGTCCAACATTTTACAAAATGATGTGGGGAAAGGATTTTAAAAAGTAGGATATTATCTCTACTCTCAAAATTTACAAATTTTATTTTTTTAAATCTGCCCTCATGTAGACTAATTGTTAGGTACCATCAAGTTGGAACTGATTCCTAGCGACCTTATACACAACAGCATGAAACACTGCCCAGTCCTGCACCAATTTCACAGTTGGTACTAACAGTGTTC